GTTTTGAAGATGTTCGAATTATTGATATTGGGATTTAAGTCTACGAAAAATAAAGGTAAAGATAATTGGTTCTTTTTGATATTTTCAACATGTCTAACCGAGAGCCAAGCTCAGTTATAGCATCAGAGATATCAGAAATAAGAGTTGATTGATGTAGATTTCTGATTACGATCCTGAATGGTCGAGAGCTAGGGGGGCAAAATGTGTGGAAATCCGTGTCTAAGTTCTTTAAGTTGTCGAGTATTAATTTAGCATTGTCCGGCCCATTCGGTCGAATGATAAGATAGGATGACGTAGCCTTGCAAGTGAAACCATTAATACATGTGAGTTGTATTAATTTATTTTTGAATAAGGTGAAATTAATTATATTTTTGATATAAATAGGTTGAGAACGGGTTGTATTTTTGTTGATATCAGGTCGAGACTGAGTCTCACGTACTGCAGTATGATCACTAGGTGGGAGAAAAGCACACTCACTTGAATCATCGTCACTCTGTAGAACCTCGAACCGATTCGGGGAAACAAATGGTTCTGACTTCTTGTCCGCAGGTCTAGAGGAAGTAGACGAAGAAGATAGATTCCGTTTGCCGTGAATGTGAACGATTTTGCTTTCCGTTACCGTATTTTGGAAGGGAATTATATTCCCCTTGATATCATAAACTGTTAAAAATATTGGCAAGTTGTGTATAAGTTGCGTACCGAATTTATTATAGTACTTAGGTATAACGTCCATGGCGCGGAAGCGCGTAATGACGCTGACCTTTCACTTACTCAGAGAACGGAGCGTATATCGGCATACGTACGCACTTGACGGCATACGAAACCAAAATGTCAAATCGCTTTAATCCGTATAATAATGGATAATATTGCTAAACCGATAAATTAATACAATTATTTACACTTTTAATGTACATGATTTTTGTAAAATTATTATTATTTTAACGCATTTGTTTTATTTTACCAATACGCATGAATCGAGTTCATCGATGTAATACACCATCGGATGAATTTCTCCTCGACCTGTATGCGATCCAAAACTCGACGTTAAAATATGAAAATAATATTTTCAAACGATTCAGCCCTTCTCACTACTCGATATTTGGAATCGATAAAAAATAATTTCACTACAACATATGAAATGTGAGATAACATAACGGTCCGTTCACGTAGATCTACTAAGTATCTATATCTATAAACTTATAGTCAGTGGTAAAGCAGTTGTGTTATCTACACGTCCACGCACCGATCCGCGGTCACGATACAATCAACAACAATAACATCAAAAAATTAAATAATATTCTCGTTTTTAAGTAACCCGTGAGCGGTAATAGATACCTATGTGTATGCTACTAAATTTGATATACATTATATTCTGCATATTGAATCGAAAGTCAATTACCCAAGTATGTTCATATTGAAAATAAATTCCAAAATATGTGAAATTCTTGTGTTCAAAATCAGTATTGTAAACAAACAAACTTGGAACGTCTGACAGTGAAAACTATGGAACAAATTTTTAACACATTTAATATTACACGTTTATACCAGGTACACTTAATAGTAATTAATAGATCCCGATTCTGTAGCGGCAACACCGATAGGAACCTATTTCGTTTTGCAATGATACTCCTATATAATAAGCACTTGTCACACTGTCAATATAGGACCTGTGGCATTACCTGAGTGCGTTTTCATGCAACAAGGTGCTCATTTCATATATAATCATATATAATAAATCGTTCAACAGTTTGAAAATAGTACTTAAATGATACTACCCAACCAACAATCAAAACCAATAAGAACTAATTTGAATTCTATTGATTCTTAAAATAATTGCTTATATTTAAATCGATGATTAAAAAAAGCTCTAAAATCTATAAAGTACTAGAAATAATTAATTTACTAGTTCAAGCATGCAATAAATTATCTTGTTATTTTAAGGGAAAAAAATACTCTAAGAATTTATAATTTGCAAATTTAAATTAATTATTTGCAAATGTAAAAATAATTTAAACTAAAAGTAGAATAAACATATTTAAAATTTAAATTTGGTTTTACACTGAGGAAAATATCTAACTATTTAGCAATATGTAATTGAAATAAATATTGTACATTTGCCAGAAATCACATATTTAGATTTTCATTAAATACCGTTCACAGATTATTGTTTCATAATTCTTACTCGTACACTTAATTTATATCAATCAATTTTATCGACAGATAATAATAATATTACAAGTTTAAATTCTACAATATGTCATTTTAATATAATATATATAACTTTGTATTATAAAGTTGTCCTTGTAATGAACATCTGGATATAAAATTGAAATAAATTCAAAATCAACTTGTTTAAAATCATCAATAAGGTCTTATCAATTATCTTTTATCAATAAGGATCCTCGTTTTATTGCTAAATATGACTGAAGTGATAAATAATTTCATATTTTACAGGCTAAAAGTAACTCAACCATTTTCTACTATAATTAACACTTGAAACCAACAGGTTGAAATAAAATGAAATAAATATTTAAAAAATATATTGTTTAATTTCTTTATAAAAACAGTTTATTAATCAGCATTATTCCGAACTATTTCTTTGACACGTCAATTTACTTAACAATATAGGTTGTTTTATTTAATAATAAATAATACATGATTTATACTTACACAAATCGTTTGACCACCCCTGATATATTATATACATACAATTATAGTTGCATAAATGTATGTGTATATGCATTTTTCGACAACTCATTTTTAGAAAATCATTTAATTCTTTAACGTGTTAATATATTACATAATACTTTGGTGTAGTATTATAATACTATACCAATATTGTTTAAGATTTTTTTTTTCCAATTATTCAATTATTTTAATTTTTAGATTTCGAAACTAATCTGTTTAGGTATTTTGTGTTATGAATCTTAAATTGGCTTGCAGAATTTAAAACATTTTTCAAACAATTCTACTGTTCTGCATAATAAAAATTTTGTAACTCTACTGCTGTTACGGCAGCATTGAATTAAATATATGCCACCAAGATGTTTATTGGTGAAGTGTCAAGGAAAGTTTTTTTAGGGTACCTATTTATTATGGGATTATTACAGAGATTTATTACTTTTTAAAAAAAAACTACACGTATAATTAAATCAGACAAGATTTAACCAAATTTGAAAGTGTCATCAATTGGTGGCTTCTTTTTCCAAATTATGTAAACTCATGTTATTGTTTCCTCATTGCATATATACTTATTATGTTTATACTTATTATGATATAGATTGTATATTTTCTTCTAAAAATAAAAAAAAAGGTACCTATAAATATCATATTTACCATACATCATTTCTATGTACAAAAATTACCCAAAATCTTATAATGGCTTCGATTTTTGAGGATTTTTCCATATAATAACAAGTACACTTAAATTTGAGCTTAAATTTTTTCGATTTGAATACTTTTTTTTTTTTAGGAAGCTCGGTAAGCTTCATTCTTTATCGTGCAACCATGTAGACAATATATTATTTTCACTGTATCGCACACGTATTCCATCATATTAAGATACATCATTTTTGGTCATAAGTCATAATTCATAGCATAATACACGTATGTGATTGTAATAAATTGAAATTATTCGTTATACGTGTTTTCTTTCGTCTCGAGGTAGAGCGATAGTCGAACATTAATAATTATTTCGGAATTGCGTCGCATTAGTACATTATTACATTTTAACGAACAGAAATCCAAGAAGACAATAAGTCATCCAATTTGATTAACTTCCATTTCGAACTGAGGTAAATACCATTGATAACTCGATACCAATAAAGATAAAAAAAAAAAAGTAAAAACGTAACAGTATATCAATTTGCTTGCATCGATCGAAAAAAATAAAAACATCATAGCAAGAAATCAAATAAATTAAAGACCAACGTCACAAAACCGTTAAACATTGTTTTCTTTAGAACACGAATTTAATAATATATTTTATTGCTTAAGGACATAACCATAGAGTGAATCTGGATTCTTATTATTTTATTCTATATGCTTGTGCTGACTATTTTCAAGTTTTTTTTTTTATTTATTTTTGTTTTTCAGACAAACGACAAAACAATCAAATCTAAGGTATACATTTTATATCAATACGGTAATGCGCTATTGCTGATTGCTTACAAAAATTGCTGGTAAACGTTCCACAAATAATATAAGACGAGATTATTGGCGTCCGATATCTATGGTAACTTTCGTTGTTTCGTAGCCATTTCGAGATTGATAAAAATTACAAAATTTCGATTCCTTGAATCCCGTAATCGTACCTATTACACGAACAACCAACGAATGATCGAATTAGAAAGTAATCGTCGAGGGGCGAAGCACTCCGACTTTTTTTTTCCAAAAACTGTAACGCCCCCTTACTAATAGAGTATGGCGTATACGTTATTTTATTGGTAAAAAAAGAAAAAAACCAGGTATGTGAATTTTTCTGTATATTATAACGTCTCATAACTTTTATTTTTACAATTCGAACACTGTGACCTACACATGTTTTGTACTGACGTAGTGATGGGGGGGGGGGGGGGGCAGCACGTCCTGGGTGGCACTTTTGAGGAGGTGGAAAAATTTCGCAGTAAATAATAAAATATATTTTGTAAATATTTGAATCATTTCATATTTTTAACGCAACTATAAATTCGGACCGAATGAAAAGAGCATGGCTATTATGGCGGCACAGATTTCAATCGTTCTCGATAATAACCGATCATCGATCATTTACGGTCATCGGGATGTCCATAAAGTCATCGGGCTCCTTTGCAGATGACGATGAACAATGCTCCATCATACCGTCGATTGTCTTCGATATCCAAACAATTTAAATTATCATTCGGATCTGTGATCGCGGGTTCAAAAAGGACCGGGTTGTTGAATCGATTTTCATGGAGCATAAACTACAATCATTCTGTGATAACACGCATATTTCAAATATCACAAAACGTAACGGAAAACTTTCCAGGTCATTCGAATGCTGGACACTGGCATATTCCACCGAAGGGCGCTTTTGCACCGGATCATTCCGGTGTGTGCTACTTCATCATAATTTTAATTAATTGTAACTTTATACAACCTGTGAAACTAACTTTACCACGATTCCTTGGACTATTTTCTTATTTATGAAGAATGAATAAGTACTCATTCAGTCTTCAATCTTCGATTTAAAATTATACTTCATTAATAATTATTCGCTTACTGTGCTTACTTTTTTACTACTACTATGTCTGGTCAAATCACATATTCTCGTGAAGTTTTACAACGAGTTAGTGATCGTAAAAATAGAAAACTAGCCATTGATGATTCAAATAAGATGGTACCAGATGCATTTGATACCGATCTCTATGCTCCAATTGACTCTCAAACAGAAGTGATCGAAGACTCCCAGTCATCAATAAAAGGACACAGAGACTTATTTGGTGTACTTATTCCAGATGATAAGTGGGGAAATAATTTGTCACCTAAAACCAAATCGAACAAGAAGACATCAGTGACTAAAAGCAAGAAAAAATCGTTGCAAGATACTGTATCAAGTAATTCATTTAAAAAACCACAACAAATCTTTATTCCTACCCCGAAAATTGTTGAACTAATGAAAGAGGCGCAAACAGAATTGTATAACTTAATGGGGCTCAACAAAAGTTCAAGTGATTTATCAGTTTCATCAACCGGAAGTTTTAATGTCAGTGGAGTACAACTACTAGATAATAAAAATGAAGAAAAGTCTTCTGAAGTCTTAAAAGGTAAATTTGTATTTAACTTAAACTTTTAGATGATAATATACCTATTGGAGAGTTAATAAAAAAAATTTGACATTTATCAAAATACTTAAAGAATATTGTATTTAAACCCTTTTATTCAACTGAAATTTTTTCTCTCTTAAATTGACATTCAAAATTAAAGTACAAATAATTAGAAGCATGCCTAGGAGGGGTTTCGGGTGTTAATATTTTTCATCTATTTATTTTACATGTATATTATACCAAAATTCAAGCCAACATTGCTGTCCGCCTTAATTATTTTATATCATTTATGATTTAAACTAAAATATGTACAACTGTACAAATTACAAAGATTAACAGTTTTCAAACTAATCTCATAATCTTATTATACCAACTAAGTTAACATTTTATTTAACATTAAATTAAATTTTTTAACTCATAATAAAATTATTACTATTTGCTACAATAACAGACAATTTATAATGTCATTTAGATCATTTAGATCACAAAAGCATTGTAATAGAATTATAAATTATCAATAATAAATAATAATTATTGTTTTTAATTTACATTATTAGATATATATTAAAAATTAGTTATTATTCTTACCGTTCAATACAAATTAATTTGCTAAATGTAAAATTATTCTTATAAACAAAAATATTAAATCTTAAAATTTTCTTATCAACTCATGAAAGTTTAAAAATAAAGAGCAATATAGACTATTAAATATTCAATTAAATTTACCTTGTAAACATTTACTACTATAAATGATTAGAGATTATTTTTTAGCAAAAAACATTTTATATGTATAAAATAACTGGTATGATTGTTTTTAATTTACAAAAATGAACCTTAAAATGCATATTTGATAATATTTTAGAACTTAAAATCCCCTGCTATATATTTAATATACCTACTACTTCAACTTAATAAATGGATGCCTATATTTTAATATAATATACCTAATATATTCAGTATTTTATTTTGTTGATCATAATAAAAAGTACATATTATATATTATGTACAAATTTTTTATGTATGTATTTTTTATAATTTTTGTAATTTAGGAGTCGTTGCATTTGTTGACTATAAAATTGAAAATGATCAATCAGCTTTAGACATAATTGAACTCCTCAATATGCTTGGGGCTAAAGTTGAAAACACCTTTAATCATAAAGTAATTACTAAATAATTAGTAATTTAACACTACTTTAATTTTGATTATTTTTTTCTAAAGGTAACACATGTAGTGTTTCATGATGGTTATCTTAAAACATGTAAAACAGCAATCAAACTTAAAATTCCATTAGTGACATCAAAATGGGTAGAAAATAGTCATTTAGCCAATAAAATGATGAATCCTGCTGACTATTCACCCATTGATATGGAAAAGTATACTAAGTACCAGGAAATAAGTTTGATTAGTCCAGTAAGTTATTTTAAATAATTTATATATAAATTTCAACAATCCATAGTGAAATTTTTTTATTAAGTTTACATATAAATAAAATCCGTATTTATAATAAACCCATATAATTCACTTCATTAGTTATATTTTCAGAAATGTTATGAGCATAACAAATTTTTAAGACACAGTAATATTAACCATGACATTGGAATCCAAGCCGAATGTGATAGCCTTATGGAACATGTTAAAAATTTAAAATTGAACTACATAAAAGAAGATTCTGTTAAAGTTAAAACCCCTAAACTACGAAAATCTATAAAAAATCTTGTAAGTGATATAACATTTTGGTATGATCATAAAAACTTTAGCTAGAACTTGCAAAAATCAGAGAACATGCTCCATTAGGGGTACATTACAATTTAAAAAATTATTTTTGACATTATTCCATGTACATTAATAAAAGATTTAGGCTGTATTTTTATTAAACATGATTCGTTTTTAGATGTTCATCTAATTTGTATTTATTTCAGGATAATATTGCGAATGGATTTTCCAATAATTTATATGATTTGTTAAACGCTCAAGATAGCCCATATCTTGACGAAAAAGAAATTAGTGAATTATACATACCTATGTCAATAAAAACACTAAGGAAGTATTTAACTCCCAAAGATACAGAAAACAAAACACCTTCAGAACTTGACGATGATTTAATTGAAATTGAAAATCAACTGAAATTAAATTCCCAAGCTAGACAACGGTTTCGTAGATTATTATTTAATTCAAATAAAGATATTAGTGATTTTCCATCGCCTTCACCTCTTAAGTTAAGAAACAGTGCTCCAGCTAGATTAACAAGCAAAAAAAAACAAAAATTATTGTTTGATAAAGAAACATCACATAAAAATAAAAACTTAAAAAAAATTGAAAAAACCCCAGAAAAACAAAATACTCAATCTAAAGTACTTCGATGGAATATACCTACAGACCTACGACCAAAAAAAATTAAAAAAAATATTGCTGTTAAAGTATCTGAAACTCGAAATAATGCAATCACCTCAATATCCAGAGATTCTTCTATGATTTTCCAAACACCAAAACCTTCCATAAATAGTCCTGTAACTATGGGGAAGATTGCGTGTACTGGATTTTCTAAAAAGTAAAATAGTCTTTTATTTAAAAAGTGTTTACATTTATTTTACTAACAACTTTTCTTTCAACAGTGAAGTAAATACAATAAAGATATCCATACAAAACCTGGGCATATTTACTTTTCATACTAATGTGGAACCTTCGACGACTTATTTAATTACTAAATCACAACCAAGTCGAACATTAAATATGGTATTTGCAATGGCTTATGGATGTAACATAGTTTCTGAAAATTGGGTAAGAAATACTTGCAATCATATATATTAAAAAAAAATGTATGAAAACTATAGATAGTTCGTTTGGCCGTTCTATCCAGCTGATTTCTTTCATTTTTTTTTTTTTTTTTTTTTTAAATTAAAGGTATTTAGACACAGATATGTCATCAATCATTGAAATTTGTTCAACTCCCACCTTACTCAAGTTATACTCAAATGCAATTCTTCCCTATACATTTCTTATGGGACACATTTACTTAAGCAATTCAAATTCTTATAGCTCCTCTTCTACTGAATGGATCTTGATCATTTCACTCTCAGAACTCTCAGTGGATCGAGCTCTTTCTTTTGAGCTATTAACTGCTTAAATTCATTAAGTTTGAGGAAATTTATGTGTGCACAATCAACTTTACTTTCAATTTTTTCCTAATACTGCATTCTCATTGGCTCTTACCAATTAGTTTTAATAAACACTTTGTCATTTCGATATGTCTTTCAATTTTCGATATTATACTAATTTATTGATTTGTTGAAATGTGTTTATGTATTGATTCAATTGCAACTATACTTTTTATTATATAAATAAATTATCTATTGCGTAATACTAGTTAATATTAAATAAAAAAAAATTGTATAAGTGATTTTTATAATTGAATTAATTTTGGTATAAATGATAAAAAAATTGTATAAATAAGCCTTCAATTATTTTTTTTTTCAAAAGAAGTATGTAATGATTATGCTAAACATAGTAGCTGTGAAAAATAAAATGCATCAAAACTTATTAAAATACAACTTAACAATCTATAGTACTATTTTATTTTTAATGAGATCCAAATTATAGTAATAACTAGGGCCCGGATTTCAATGCAAAGTGCATATTTTTTTGGTTGATCATTCACAATGCTCTCTAAAAATATAATTTGTTTCATGTAACAAGGATTTCAAAACTACAAATTTTATTCTGCATTTTTTTTTTTTTTTTGCATATTTCGACGTTTTTTCATTTTTATGTATTATTGGGTCATTTTGTTGGTTTTTAATGCATATTTGTTCGATATACTAAACAAATTTAGCCTATTCAAAATAAAATCAAAAGACAAATTATTTTTTTAATATTTAAGTAGGTTTATTGGGTTTTTCCAAACACATTGTCAATCTTTATTAAATAAAAAAAAATTTCGATTTAGTTTTTCTTTTATCTTAATTTACTTTTGACTATGGAACGTCACCAGTATTCGTTCAAATAACAAATAATCAGCTAGTTTGTATTACCTCTCAGACATTGCTCATATTACGTGTGAATGTGATTTTAATGTATTTAATAGTGTGTAAATAATGCCCAAAGTAAAATAAGATATTCCATTTTAAGGTCATTTTTGTGGTAAAATGCATTTTTTAAGGACATTTTTAGTTATTTTTTAGAGTATATTTGTATAATTTTAAGTGCATTTAAATACGGGCCCTAGTAATATGAATTCAACTGATTTGCTAAACTTTTTAAAGTAAGTAAACAATTTAGTAAAAAGGGTATTTAAAAAAAAAAAATTAAAAATTAGTTTTTCAACAATAGTATTCTAAGAGTTAAACAATAAAATAAAATGTAAAGACTTAAATATTTTACACATACAAACATACATTTGATGAAAAACTTTTTTTTGATTACTTAAATTTATATATGTTCCATTATTTTAATTATAATGTAAATTATTATAAACATTTTCCACTTAATAGGAAAACTTATTTGTAGACTGAATATTAACCAATTTATATACAGTTGATTCACATTAACTTAAACCTGAAGGAGAAATATTGTTTAGTTTGTAGATAAATTAATATTTAATTAATTTTAAATGAATTTACATTGTAATTTAGGTTACTGTGGTTTATTTATATAATAAATTGTATTTATCAATTTATTAGGTACATGAATCACACAAAATAGGCAGATGGTTGCCTTGTGAACATTATTTAATATCTGATTTATCCAGTCCTGTTAAGGTAAACTTTAAGTAGTTAATATTTTATTTATATACGATCAATAATTATAATTGGTTAAAAACATTTAATGTATATTTAATTTTTTTTTTTTTTTTTTTCATAGAAATTTCAAACACGACGTAACACATTTGGTTCATTGTTAACATTTCACATATTTGATGAAGCCGGTAGTATTTACGTTTCTAATACTTGTAAACCATCTGCTAAACACATAAAACGACTGGTGCGTACATGTGGTGGTAAATGTACTAGTATTGTGACTAAAGCTAATATAGTGGTTGGTAAAACATCTCAAATAACCAACAACATTCAAGAAAAATGGGTTCTGGATTGCATTACCCAAGGAACCTTGCTAAATAAGGATCAGTACATAATAGTTGATAATAATATTGAGCTTTAAAATAGACTTAATTACTTGTATTGTAAACACACTTTTTTTCTTTTTTCTTAATTTTTCTCTAGGCAAATTTTGACTTCTTATTACTTATAACTAGTGTTTTTTTATTGTTTAAATTAGAATTATTTAATATAATTAATACCCATACGCATTAGTCATAATGGAAATCAATAATTTATATTTTAGTTTTATTGATTTATTTTCCTCTGCGTATGTTTTTTTTTTAAATATGCTTAATGGTTTTTTTTATTTATATATATATATATATTTATATATAATTGTTTATAAATTATCATTTAACATAATATTTTAAAATTATTAAAAAAAAAAACAAACTTTAAAATGAAAAAATACTTAAAACATTCCTTTTGTACCAAGATATATAAAGTCAGTGGTTTTCAAACTTTTTATTTGTGGAGCCCTTATGTTATCAAAAAAAATTTAAAGAGATTTATATTGGAAAAAACAGTAATTATCAATATTTCATATTAAGAAAAACACAGTTTAAAATTTAATATATTTTTTTAGAAGTTAGATTTTGTCATTAGCTGTGAATACTATGTTAATTTTACATTGTATTGCCAAATTAACTTCATTTAATTTTGTGAAAACACCAGCCAAGTAATGAAGTCAGAATAACCAAATTTTATCAAAAGTCTTAGTTGTAAATTAAATTAGTGTCACTAAAACGTATATTCAGGTAATCATACCTATGTTTTTCCTCAATAATTAAAATTATAATAATATTTAAATTTAATTAATTAAGATATGCCCATGGAACCCCTAGACTTCTCTTGCGGAGCACAGTTTGAGAACCGGTGATATATGTAAATGCTTTAAGAAACAAATATATACATTTAAATATCTTATTTTGTTTTATAATATTAACTAGAGATGGGCACGAAATCCATAGATCTCTGACTTTACCAAATGTCCAGATTTGAATCAAATTCTTATCTGAATTTTCTGGATTATCCAGATTTATGTATTTGCTTTTTATGTGAATTATAATTATTTTTATTTTCTAGTAAATAAATTGTTTTATTTTATTGTAATTAAAATTTTACAAAAAATTAATATTATTTTATATGAATTACAATAAACTTAAACTTACACTTCAAAAGTTTTTAAAATGTATTATTAGTTATCAAAACAAGTTATTAAATTATTCAGTTTATTTTATATCTCTATGGCTTCTAATGATATCATGACTGAATACCCAATTAACTTATCTTTACTAAAAACCTTTAATTAATTTTATATGAATATAAAAATTCGTCTTTGAAAAGCAAAATTGAATTGAATAATTCATGAATTCTAGATTTCCTAAATTCAGATTTGTCAAATCCGGTTATACCCATCAATAATATTAAGTTTATTTTATAAAATTAAAATTGATATATGACTTGAAGAACAACAATTTTACTTTTAAACATTGTAATAGCTATTTTATTGAGAACTTGAGTGAAGTGACATTTATTTATTTCATTTTGCAATTTCTATTTCTTTTCTTTTTTAAACTCTATTAATACCAAGTGTTATATACCATCACATAAGAAATTATAAATTATAAAATTTGTATTGCATAATATACATTTTGAAGTCTGTATACATGTATTTTTTTTAAAACATTTAGGTTTATAGGTAGATAGGTAATTAGTTTTGTTTTAATTTATCTTAATTAGGTATTTTAAATTTTAGTTTAAATTAGTATATCCTCTCTTACTATATGTAGAACAGCCTCAAATATACAAATCAGCCGTCCCGTGGTTTATCAGAAACACGATACTTCACAATTATTTCCAAATTCCCACTATCAAAAGTTACATAAAATATTATCAAATTTAGAAAAATTATTCAAATCAAAAGGAACACAATTTTACCATTTATTCGAATTTCCCAATATCATCAATTCAAACAAAGTTGTCTACAAAACCACTAGAGCTTTCAACTGTAAACTATAACTTCATATTTGCATTATGTACCTTAATTAGTTGTTACTTATACTATGTTTATGATAACATTTCTTAATTTATACATTGCATGTATTCAATAATTTCATATTATACTTGTAATTACCATTATGTTTAGATAACAACATAGTCAATAAAACATTTGTATTAATATAAATAAAAAAATATTAAAGTATGTAATATAATTTTAAATAAATGCTAAGTATTTATAATGAATTATGATATTCAAGTGTTGAGATAATTGAATACTCTCTATCTTTACATATAAATTAAATATTTGAGGGAAATTTTTAACAAATATTTGCTATTTGACAATACTCATGTTTAAGTAAGTTAATTTAGGTAATAGATATTTAATTACATTTTTTTATAATTAAAAGAACATTAGTTTTTGGGGAATAGATTAAGTACTTTTAAATTATTATCTTAAACATTATTATTTTACTTAGCTTGTAAAATTCGATAATAAAAATACATATCATTTACCAATCGGTGCAAAGTTAATTAAATTTATCTATACATATAAAAATAAATGTACATTTTGAATAAATTTTATAACTCAAGATCTACCAAACCGATTTCGATAAAAATTTCAGGGCATATTAAGATTAATATGTAGATGGTTTCTATGAAGTTTGTACGTTGTGCAATAAATGGTTCCGGAGTTATGGCTTCTTAGGTGCACACCTGACTACATGGCCAAAAACAACAACAAAATTAATGCAAAATTAAAAAACGTTTATATCTCGAAAACGGCTGCTCCAATCGCAAAAATACCAGACATTTTCGCACGGGCAATTATACGTGGCATGTTCAAAAGTTGGCAATCCAAATTACTTAGTTATATATGTCCCAAATGGACAAACAAAGAATATTGTTTACCCAAATGTGTTGGATTTATAATAAAGAATTTGGAAAAAAATAAATGATACCTATTCTAGGAAAAATTATATGATTTTTATTGCATTTTTGTTTTGGTGCTACGAAACGCACATGGGTTGGCTATTAATTATTATAAAACTAACTCTAACTGTACAACCTACGTACTATTATTTTCGTTTGAAAATTCACGTCGTTTTTTTAAGGAATGTTACTAGGGGACGAAAAAAAGAAAGAAGGTAAATAATAAACATCTAATTTAAGAATTTTATATAGAGAAAGCAATAAGTATGTGCTAACACACAAACGAAGCCTGATTATTTTTTGAAATTATTGATTTTTTAAGTGACATAATACTTAACATACAATAATATATGGTGTTATAGTTTACCTTACTTGCATCATCTACAAAGTTCATTTATTTATTTATTCATACGCTCAGAAACACAAAAATTAATACATATTTAGGTAGAGCAGTGAAGATGTAAGAGTTTAAATTACATGTAGCTCATAATAATCAGATTCACAAAGTTCATTAAACTGTTAAATATTTGTTGGAGTAATGATTTTATTTTTTAGCACACTTTTTTTTTACAATTTGATCGACAGAATAAAAAATACATCCTCAGCAGTAGTTTAGCCAGGATTTTTAAATGGGAGAAGCTTAAATATTTTTTGGGTAGGTTAGGTAAGAAAGGCTTTGAGAGTTCACTCATAACACTAAATTTAAAAATGTTTTTCCAGTATTTTAAAATAGTTTTAATATTATTATAATAATACAGTATGATGATAGTTTGCGAGAAAAAATAGTCTTAACTCTAAATAAAGGTAGAAATATGGACAATGAACATTGTAGTACCACGGAATAGAATAAATAAATACTCTATAAGTACTGAGTAGTCAGTATACGTACATAATAGGGTGTTACAAATCGTTGACCTTATTGTTCCTGAGAATAACGTTGTGGCAACTTATTTACACGTAAGTACATGTACTGGTTCAGCTTACGCAATTCAAAGGCTATTACAAAAAATTTAATTAAATAGAATCGACGCTATGGTGTCCATAGTGAACGTGTAGCTAACGAACATTTTGTTGTTTCTGATTATCGAAATCGAAAACCAGCACGATCAATTTATGTCCAGTAAAGCTGTAAACTATTTTCCGATACATAAACAATAATAATTTATCTTCCGATGTTCTGTATTCACGAGACAAAAACATATTTTTGTTTCTCTCGTACAGGTAAATACTATAACAGTTATACTTGGGATTTATGGCGAATAATTACGATGAGAAGTTATAAAGAATGTCGGACACAGACGTTTAATAGAAAATAAACAGGACAATCGATGGTCAAATAACAATAAAACTTATAAACACTGAACGAATCTGAGACGGAATATAATTCATCTCGATTATTAGATGTGTTTTCAGATACCTCGACACTAGAATTACCACTCATATGTATCGCACCAATATGAAATCCGATAAAATAAATTACAGTCCATTATCGGTAAATCGTTACTGAAAATTAAGATTAAGATTTAAGCATAAAATAATACATTATAATATTATAATATAGATCACGGTGTATTATTATCGAATTGGCCTGACCCCACCATTGCGCATCACTATATCATTATACCAACGTATATTACAGCTTTCTGAATTTATTCCAATTATTAGGTACACGCACGATAATAGGAATTCATAGTTTTTTTTCATGCAGACTATGTGATTATTATGTTTCGTGAAAAACATTATGCTCAAGGGTACTCTTTGGAATTTTCGCGTTCAACCAAAAACACTATGATTAAGTTACCCAGTCCAGTAGCAGCGGCAGCCGAAGACTTGGGTCACAAAGAGGACTGTAATGAAAATCTGAACTATCCGTTCATCAAAAACAGTAAAGTAAATCTCTAGAAGTCTTTATATTGGTACATACCGACCGAATGTGTTTGAGTTCATTATTGTAATTATTATAATTATTCTATTCACACGTTTCTCGGTCGAGATGTTTACACTTCAAACGAAGATTTTTCTACTAGAATTTTAAAACGCACGTTACATTATAACTAGCACGTTTGATTAAATTAAAACTCGTAATGCCGTAGTTTTCTTGTAGAATTTCTCTTACGATTTTATTTTCAATTATATAATTTATATGACTTTATAATACTATACATAGTATTTAATATATGATGACACAGCACTTCTAACAGGTAGTCAAAACGGGTTACAACACGGTTTTAAAACTTGGGGTACCCGCGTAAAATTTTAAACCAAGTTTGAACAGAAAACCGAAACCCGATAAATATGTGAACCCGGTTTTTACCCGAAACCT